CTTCTCCACCTTGGGACTCCATGATGGAGAAAGCAAAGTGGTTTCCTAGACTCCAGGCCGTGAGCTCCCTGTCTCTGCCCAGCCTGGAGCTCAGAGCCATGCGGGTTTTCCTCACCCAGCCTTGCATTGAAGGCTGATTACGCCAGGATCTCCAGGCTTGTGCCTCAGTCTCCCAACCCCTGAGCACCATCAATCCCCAAAACCTTGGCCTCCCAGGATTAGCTTTTGTGAGCTGGCTTTCAGGTTTTTCTTCACCTGTCTTTGGGGTTAGCAGCTTTCCTGGCCCTTAATGATTTGCTGTACTTCCTTGTGAACTCTGCAATGAATTTAAAAGTATGTTTTTAAAAATACGTATCCATCAACTGGGTGTTTTGTGAATGGAGCCTTGTTAGAATATCTAGGCTGCCATAGTGCCTAGGATCTCTTTAAACCATAAACTACTTAGAAGTGAGATTTTTGCTTCCAGACATAGGATATTGTATGATCAGTTTCTGTTTGTATTGTACGGTGGCCAGAAAGCATGCAATCTGGCCACTGAAAAAGACGCCACTGAAGCAGACGTGACCATGTCTGTTTTCATGTCTGAATTCAGACATGATCTGAATATCTTTCTGATCCGATTTATCTGGAGACTTTTGTTTGTTTGCTTCTTTATGTACTGTTTAGCGTTCTCAGTTACAGGTTATAGGATTTACCCAGGCAAGTTCAAGCAGAAAGAGTTTTTTTGAAGGATATTAGGATCTTACGGAAGCTCTGGAAGGGCTAGAGAACCAGGGAGGATGTCCCCACACCCAAAAATGTGGCAGCCAAGAGAAACCCAACCCCACCAGGAGGGTCTCCCAGAAGAAACCCACTGCCACTGCCTCCCAGCAGAACTCAGGCCCCGTGGTGCCAAGGGGCTGCGACTCAAAGCTCTTCCGCCAGGCAGACCAGAAGAGCTGATCACCACCGGGCTCATTCCTTCTTTCCACCTCTGCGACAGAGGAAAACGGACACAGGAGCTTTCAGCTGCCCAGCCTCTGTAGTTCAAGAAGGCAGACTAGATAGGAGCGTGTCCGGAGCACAAGGAAGGTGGCCGGAACCGCAGCTGAGACCTCCTCCTGTAGCTATGGGGCGGGGGCACAGATGCAGTCAGTTTGATGTCATGTGTGTTTTCTCTGTGAAATACGGGGAAAGATTATCAGCTGAGAGCGAGAGGACCATAGTGGATCTTTAAGAAGAGGAAGTGGCACGGGGGGGGGGCTGCCGCAGGGGAGGGACATTGACGGGGGAAGGGTTGTGGGCATGTCTGGCAGTTAGTGCAGGAGCTTTGCCAGTAAGCTCAGGGGAAGGCTGGGGAGGGAGGAGTGAGAGTGAGGGCGTGGCTGTGTGGGGTCCGAGCTTCATTCAGGAGCGAGGGGAGGGCTGAGGTGCAGGATAGGGTAAAAGTGGTGGGTGGATACATAGCTGGTCTCCAGGGGAAGGGGCGAAGACACAGAGGTGAAGGTTGGAGAGAGAAATGTCTAGAACTAGGAGATGCCAGAAGGGAGATCTCTGGGCTCTGTGCAGGATGGACCACCACAGGGTCTTCTCAGCATTCCTGCGCCACCCTGGGCTCACATCAGTGCCCGAGAGGGGTCCCTTTCCCTCTCTTGCTGCCTTGGCTGGTGCTGGGGTGGGGCATCCTGTGCCTCTGGGCCTTGGGTGGAACCTTCCCACTGCCCGGGTCCCATCGAGCCCCTCCAGGGCAGCCCACTCTGCCTCCTGTTTCCACGGCTATTGGGCCCATCCCCTCAGACCTCTGCTTTGTAGAGGAGCAGACCCTGAGCGCTAGAGGTCTCTGCCCATTCTGCAGGGATGCTGGTCTTTCCCCTCCCGCAGAGCCTGGGCTGGGTTCCCAGTGGAAGAAGGATGGGTTCCTACCCCCGTTCAAGAGGCAGAGGGTTTAGTGGGTTTCCCCAGCGGCATAAGGCTTCTGCCTCCTATAGGGGGTTCTGGAGAAGTGGCCCCACACACACTGTGTCACCTCAGGCTTGCAGGACGCAGAGCACCAGTGGGGCGTGAGGAGGAGGGCTGGGGGCAGGTGTGAGCCGCCCTCGTCCCCGGGTCCCCCAGCTGTCCTAGACTGGCACATCGGTCTGCACGTGGCCTGCAGAATTTTCCCAAGATGAACCGACTTCTTCCCACCCTTGTCGGCGATTGCCACCACTTCTTCCCACACTTCGCCGGGGGAGAGCTGGTGGCCAGTCTGGCTCTCCTTGGAGCCTGGGGCTCTGGAATTCCGTCCCTCACTTGGCTCCCTGTGACTCCGGCTCATGGGCGCAGGGGACGTACTGCCTCTGCGGGTGGCCTGGCTGGTCCCTGTTGAAGGCAGTGGCCCTGTCTCGGGACCCATGGCAGTGTCTCTCTGTGTTCAGCGGGTGGTTCATGGAGACGGGACGATTCAGCACACACAGACCTCACCACGCTGATGCCAGACTCACTTGCTTTCGAAGCCCAGCGGCGTCTATACCCACGTCTCACGTCAAGCCCACTGGCGGGCAGTTTTCAGAATCCAGTCTCCCCAGAGTCTGCCCAGCCTCACAGTGCCCGCCAGCCCCCATCCTGGTGCCGCTGGCCCATTGGTGTTCTAGGTGCCTCCGTGGAGACTGGAGGTCAAGTGCCGGCCGGGGCTATTTCCTCTGGTGATACCTCCCCCACCCTCCTGTTCTGCAGCCCTTCGGTTAAAGCAGAATAAAAAAAGGAATTCCGATGGTCCCTCAGGGCCTCCTTTGCACCACTGAATTTTTTCTTTTTTTCTTTTGTTTGGAGATGGAGTCACCCCCTGTCACCCAGGCTGGAGTGCAGTGGCACGACCTTGGCTCACTGATCCCTCCACCTCCTGGGTTTACACTGTTCTCCTGCCGCAGCCTCCTGAGTATCTGGGCTTACAGGCTCCCACCACCACGCCCAGCTAATTTTTGTATTTTTAGTAGAGATGGGGTTTCACCATGTTGGTCAGTCTGGTCTCCAACTCCTGACCTCAGGCGATCTGCCCGCCTCGGCCTCCCAAAGTGCTGGGATGACAGGCGTGAGCCGTCGCACCTGGCCTGCACCCCAGACTTTGTTTAAGGAGGTGGCCCGCCCGGCCACCCTGTTAGAGGAGGAGGTCCTTATGTTGTCCTCGGGAGCCCCGGGATCGTCTCCCACCAAGTTTCATTTTCACAGCACCCGTCACTGACCTCCCTGGGTGCTTATCCTTCACGGCACGATCTTCCTCCTCCTCAGCTCCGGGTCCAGCTCGGACAGGAGGGCGAGAGCTGCCGGGTCTTCCCCTACGGAGCCCGTCCTCTTCTGCTCCGTGAGAGGGCCCCAGGAGGAGGGGTCAGACAGGGTTCCACGCCTTCCATCACCCTCACCTTGAAACGGCCACCCCCCGGGTCCGACCATGTGAGCGTCTGAGGAACGTCAGCCAGTGAGCAAACATGTATTGAGCACCTGCTGCGTGCCTGCCCCTTTGCCTGATGTTTGACACTTTAAGCTGATTTTCAGAGGACCCTGCAGGGAGCTTCCAGGCCAGGGGGGAGAGGTCACCTGCAGAGGTGATTTCGGCACCACGTGGGAAAGTGTCAGTGGGGGCTGTCTGCCCAGTGGTTTTGGCCAACGGTCCTGGAGGTCACAGAGGTGGCAGAGCTGATTCCCGTCTGGCAGGTTTGCACTTGGTGCCAGTGAGGTCTGAGACGCCACGGTCACATCCTCAAGGTCCCCTCACTTCTCCACAGAATAGTTTTTCCTCATTGGTCAGCATGCAATCCGCATAAATCTACACGTATAGTAAAATGACGTCAGACCGCACCCGCACTCCACCCATGCCCACCTCCTGGTTCTGGTGTTTTCAAATACGAGCATTGGGAGAAACTGCAGAAAGAGTGTAGGGACCTCGCCGTACTGTTCTTGTCACCTCCTGCAAATAGATAATTATTTCTAAATAAAAAGTAAAAAGACAAATTGAGAATCTTGTCCCAAACTAAAGCTCTTAGCCTTTGCCTTTGCACCCCCATCCCACTCCTGCACCCCTGCTTCTTCCCGGAGAATTCAGATCACGCCTGAGACGGTCACTTCCAATTTGCTTTGGAAAACCCCAGTGGAGACCCAGAAGCAACTCGGGTTTCTGGCAGAGCCCAGGCTTCCAGGAGAAAGCACAGGACGGGAGGCAGGGACCGGGCTGAGCCTCCCCTGGCCTTGCTGGAGGCTGTCTCTCCATCAGCTGTGCTGGAGCCTGGGGCTCCCTCAGGCTTTTGGGGCTGTACAAAAATCAGATTGGAAGGAGTTAGCTGCCTTCTCGGCTCCGTAAAAGGCCTCCAGTCACCAGCAGTGGCTTGTTTAGGATGCATTGAGTCATTTTGTTCTATCTGCCTGGCGTGTGGTTTTGATATAGTCTGTGGCATCAGACAGCAAAACTACAAAGCCATAAACCGCTCCCTGGTTTTCCAAGGGCCTCCCTTTTCATCTTGTGAGAAGACATTTTTTGCCCTTGGGGTGAAATAAATCGTGGATGCAAATACAGAAGAGGCTGAGGGCGGCATCACCTGGTGAGCTGTTCGCAGAACTCAGGTGTGCCTGGAAGGGTGAGAAACGAGTCTGACTGGGCTTTCCTGGGACGAAGGTGGGTGGGGGCTCTGATCTGCGTTTTCTCCCAAATGTTCAAATACCCTGCAGCGCAGGCACTGTGACTAATCACAAGATTTAATGGCCTTAAAGTGCTCACTGAGGGCCCAATTCAATTAAAAAATGTCCTGCCGAAGCCATGAATAACCCTCTTGTCTTTGCTTTTCCAGTCTTCCGGAGGCCTCCGCCGAGCGAAGCCAAATGGGCGTTTTATTTTTTTAAATTTTTTTCTTGACGTGGGCCCCAGACCCCCACCAGTCACATGAGCGCTCACCTCCCTCGAGACCGCCCCCCCCCCACTTCTCGCCGGCACAGGTGCCACGCTGCCTGTGTTTGCACTGGCACCTGGGAAATGACTTCTGCTCCTTCTCCAGTTTGACAGACTCTGGAACGAGATGCCAGTCAATGCCAAGGGGAGGCTGAAATGCCCGGACTTCCTGAGCAGGTTCAGTTCTGAGACACCAGCCACACCGATGGCCTCGGGCGACTCGGTCGCAGCCCAGGGAGGGAGCAGCGTCCCTGACGTCTCGGAAAGCACCAGATCTGCCCTCTCATCGCCCACTCGGGAGCTGAGACCAGAGTCAAAGTCTCGGAGTCACCCCTGTGTGAGTTCTCCATTCTTCCAAGTGTCCCAGGCCACCTCACGCCACATCCACAAAGACCACTGGAATGGGGACTGGTGTGGCCCAGGGTTTGGTGGCTGAGAAGCCGGGTGAGCCTGGGGTGGCCACAGGCAAGGAGCCCACTGGGGCGGGTCCTTAGCACCCATTCCTGGGGAGGGGAAGATGGGGGGATGGGAACGGCGGAGGAGTGGGATGGAAAGGAGGCATGAGCAGGTGCAAGGTGGGAAAGGGGGCAGGGGGCACCGGCGCGGGGCGATGGTACTCCCGGCACCTCTGTGCGGAAAGCAAGGCCCTGTGGTCAGCTGTGGGCTGCAGTCCCTTGAGGCAAGTTGTACCCATTTTCCAGCTGAACACAGTGAGGCTCTAAGAGGCTTTCTCACGTGATCTTGGTTCCTCAGATGTGGAGCAAGCTGATTTTGAGCCCAGGCCTGTCAAACTGCACAGCCTGGAGCCCTGGCTGAGCCACCCCAGGTTTGGGAGGGAGGAAGGTGCCCAGGCTTTCTTTTCTTGTCTGCAGAAAGGGATGGCAACGTCACCAGGACAGGGTGGTTGAGAGAATGCCACGCCATGCACATAAGGCCACCATCACCATGCATGACCTTGGCTACTCCATTTTCATTAACTCCATACAAGTTTACTGCATACCTACTGTGTGCTGGGTATTTTCTACAGCTGAGAATGAACTAAGGTTCCTGCTCTTGTAGAGCTTATGTTGTTTCAGGGGATGACGGGCAAGAAAGGAGTAAGCATAAGTATTTCTTATGTTAAAATGCAGTAAGTAGATCAGAAGGAAGAGGGGTCAGGAGCACCCCTAAGATGCCTGTGTCCTAACCCTCAGAAGCTGTGACTATGTTGTCTCACAAGGCAGGGGAAATTAAGGTTGCAAACAGAACCGAAGTTGCTAATCAGCTGGCCTTGGGGAGAGTATCCTGGAGTACACAGGTGGGCTCAGAGTAATCACGTGCGTCTTTAACCGGGAATCCTGAGGCAGAAGGCTCAGGGCTAGAGAGACGCCTTCTGACGCTCACGCTGATCGCTAATGCGATGCACCTAATGCTGCTGGCTTTGGCGAGAGGAAGGGGCCGCAAGCAAAGCAGCGTGGGAAGCCTCTGGAAACTGAAAAGGCAAGAAAATGGCTTCTCCCCTCGAGCCTCTGATACCTTGATTTTAGCTCAGTGAGCCCCAGTTCAGACTTCTGACGTCTAGAACTGTCACATAATAAACCGGTGTTGTTTTAAACCACTAAATTCATGGAAATCTGTTATAGGAGCAGTAGGAGACCGAGGGCTGGAGGCATTCATTCGAGGGGCATGGAGACTTTGCGTGTTTTTAAGCAGCAAAGCGACGTAGTCTGAGGGACTCTTTAAAGACCACTCTGGTGCTGAGGCTGGGGGCCGGTGAGGAGGCCTAGCAAAGGCGATGGTGGCTTGGGATGGGTGAGACTCTGGCTGTATTTTCAAGGTAGAGTCAACAGGATTTCCTGAGGGATCAGATGTGGGATGGAGAGAGAGCGGGAGAGTCAAGGAAGGTTTCTAAGGGTTCCACCTGAGCAACTGGAAGGAGAAAAACCTGGGCTAAATTAAATCCGCGCCCTTTTTTTTGTTTTTTGTTTTTTTTGAGACAGAGTCTCGCCGTATCGCCTAGGCTGGAGTGCAGTGGCACGATCTTGACTCACTGCAGCCTCCACCTCCTGGGTTCAAGCAATTCTCCTGCCTCAGCCTCCCGAGTAGCTGGGATCACAGGCACGCACCACCACACCTGGCTAATTTTTGTATTTTTAGTAGAGCTGGGGTCTCACCATGTTGGCCAGGCTGGTCTCAAACGCCTGACCTCAAATGATCCACCCATTTTGTGCTGGGATTGCAGGCGTGAGCCACCGCGCCCAGCCCATTCTCTTGTTTTTAAATGGAAAATATAATAAAGCAAAGAACAGCCCCATACTTGGTCCACATAATGTCAAAATAACAGATATTCTGTGAATGTTTATGGATTGGATGTCTCGTGCCCATGACAAGTGAATCCCTTTCTTGGGTAAGAGTCTTCCACTAGTGAAATATATGCCATTATCACTTTTCACACACACACACACACACACACACACACACACCCCAGAAGTATGTTTTCACATCGCATCTGTATAGATTTGAACCTTGGCTTACATATTTATTTCCAAAATTATTTTGGTTATTATGGCTTGGCACAAGTACATATAGCCCACCAATGGAAATAAAAGCTACCTCGTAAAATTACCACCTATGTTTCATTCTTCATTTTATTTCTGGGCTAATTCTGCCTCTAAAATTGTGATCCTCAAAACCGGAGGTATTGACATACAGAGGTACTTTGGATGGCTTCCGTTTTACACCTAAAGTGAAAAGAGCCTTTTGTTTTCTTCCCTGCTAGACTCCAGCGAACACCGCCGCCATCCCGGGCACTCCACCCTTGCAGAACTGCGATCCCATAGAGAGCAGGCTCCGGAAGAGAATCCAGGGCTGCTGGCGACAGCTCCTGAAGGAGTGCAAGGAGAAGGATGTGGGCAGACAGGGGAGCATCAGCACCTCCGAGTTCCTGGGTTCGTTTTGGGTCTATCCTCTTGGCGATCCGTCGTCAGCCCCCGTGGCAAGGGGCTGTTCCCACTGGGCACAAAGCCACACCCCACCCTGGGCAGAGGCCAGGGAGCAGTAGAACGGGAAACGGGGGAAATTCTGGGTGGGCTGCACAGCTCACCAATCAAAGGTCCCCGGGAGGAGGATTCCGACCACCTGCCCCTCCCAGCAGGGGCTCCGTCTGCGTGGTCAAGTCAGCGCTGCACTAACTCTGAGCTTTGGAAATCACAGGCGTGGCTGCCACCCTGGGCAGAGTGTGAATGTTCTCGGGCTCTGACCCCTGAAGGAGATGGAGAAGGTGGCGGAGGGCGGGTTGAAGCAGGGATGCCCCTGGGGCTCCATTCCCATCAACACCCACTCTTTGATGTTTTGTTTTTCAGCATGTATCACTTTGATAAACCTTTAAAATTAAGCCAGTGAGATTTATACTTCCAGTAAATGTTGCATCTTGGGTTTTTTGGTTTTTGTGGTTTTGTTGTTTGGGGGTGGTTTGTTTTTGAAACAGGGTATCCCTGTCACGCAGGCTGGTGTACAGTAATGTGATCTCAGCTCCCTGCAACCTCTGTCTCCAGGAATCAAGTGATTCTCCCACTTCAGCCTCACAAGTCGCTGGGACTCACAGGTGTGCCTCACCCTGCCTGCCTGTTTTTGTATTTTTTGGTAGAGACGGGATTTCACCATGTTGGCCAGGCTGGTCTCGAACTCCTGATCTCAAGTGATCTGCCCACCTCAGCCTCCCAAAGTGCTGGGATTATAGGTGTGAGTCAACACACCTAGCCCGGTCACACCTTGTTTATGCAACATTTGACGTTACTGGAAAATGCATCTGATCGTGTCACTCCTTGGCTTTTCAGTTGCACTGCGTGTGACTAATCCACCCCTTTTAAAGGAAAATGTTTTCTGAGATCCTCCAATATTAGTATAAATTACTTTTATCATAACTATGGCTTTAAAATACACAAATTAAACCAGGTGTAAGCTCTTTAAGTTAGAGCTTATTTTCAAAAAACACTTGTAAATTAAGTATAAAAAATCTGAAGTCAGTAATATTCAAATGTTGTTACACCAATTGAATGTGACGTGTTTTGCTGAAGCCGAAACATGCGTGTTGATTGGAGCTCCGCTTTTCTTTTAGTTAGTTCTGTGGTTTTTGAGAGCGATACACCTTCACTGTGTTACTGTCCTTACTGCTATTGCTGGCTTTTTCTGTTTAAGCAGGAACTCATTGAAGCCCCCACGCAGTTATCATCACAGGCGTGTCAGACGTTAGTCACGCATCCAAAATTCAATACTAGGAAAAAAGCCGGTTACTTTCCAAAAGTCATTCTGTATTTTCTTCTCAGTGCTGATGGCCTTCTGCGAGTCAGAGCATCAGAGGCATGTATGGCCAGTTCATTGGGGTTCTGTGGGCCCCTGCTGTGTCCTGGCGGGCACCATGCCTGCTGCCGCTTCCCTCTGTGCAAGGGCAAAGAAATGTGTTTGTAGAACGTGCAGCAGCCTCTCTTGGCCTGGCTTGGCCTGCAGGCATCGTTGACATGGAGTCTGCTTCCTCGTTCGCCTCAACAACTCATGTGGCATTCCGCTCCCTGACACTCCGTTCTTTCAGGATGTCAAAGCAAAGTCTTGTCTGTGAAACCTAAATCGGATCCTACGTAAGCCCCCTTCAATTATGAGGTGTTGCGTACAGAGAAGTGTTGTCTTTACAGCTGGCAGGAGAATGCGGCATGAGGACAAGCACCAAGGGTGGGGCGCGCCTTGCCGTGCGGAGGTTCTGGCGGGCAGCCTCTCGGCCACCAGCGACGCTCCCCATAGGGCATCCACATGAGCCTGAGGCTGCACAGCTGTTGTCTCCTGAGGGCGGTGGTTCCCGCAGGCAGAATAAGTGTTACATGTTTTAGACCATCATTGGGCCGGACACTTAAAGCATGGATTTGCGTGGCGGAACAGATGCTAGAGAGCCTGTCTCCGGTGCCCAGCTAGGAAATATTTGGTCATAGGGCCGAGTCTGAATTCCGGGTCACTGCGAGCTCAGGGGGGCTTCCCCTGCTCTGGCTCTGCCCTGGCTTGGTGGGGAACGTCCCCTCACCTCCCTCTCTGCACTTTGGTCATAGCTCCCAGGCTCTGTCCGTAAGTTGTGACCATGCAAACCAAGGACAGTGTGGGCCAGCGGGACTCAGGGTCCCCTCCCTGTGGCACTTAGTTTGTCACATGTCTGTCTCCGTGTATGAGCAGTCATCAGCTGTGGGTTCTTTGATGTGAGGACCAAGCAGGGCCTGAAGCAGAGAAGGTGCCTGAGCAAGTGTTGAATGAATGAGTGAAGAATGAATGAATGAATGAGTGAATGAATTGCCACCAATTGAACTGCCATTCTTGTCTGTAGCTCTTGTGGAGAAATTCAGCCTGGACATAAGCAAAGAGGAGTGTCAGCAGCTCGTTATAAAATACGACTTAAAGAACAACGGGAAATTTGCATACTGCGACTTCATTCAGAGCTGCGTCCTCCTGCTGAAGGCGAAGGAAACCTCACTGATGCAGAGACTGAGGATCCAGAACGCACACAAAATGGTACGTCACCCACCGCGGAAAACGTGGGGCCAGGCGGGGAGCAGCACCTGCATTTTTTTTATTTTGATATTTTTCAAGACAGGGTCTCACTCTGTTGCCCAGGCTGGAGTACACAGTGGTTCACAATTCACTGCAGCCTCGAACCCCCAGGTTTAGGGGCTCCTCCTGCTTCAGCATCCCCAGTAGCCAGGACCACAGGCACAAGCCACCACATCCAGCTAATTTTTGTATTTTTGTGGAGATGAATCCATTTTCACACTCCTACAAAGATACTACCTGAGACTGCGTAATTTATAAAAGAAAGAGGTTTAATTGTCTCACAGTTCCATGCGGCTGGGGAGGCCTCAGGAAATTTACAATCATGGCAGAAGGTGTGAGAGAGAGGGAGGGAGGGAGAGGGACAGAGAGAGAGAGAAAAAAAAGCGGGAACTGCCAAACACCTTTAAAACGACCATATCACAGGGTTTTGCTGTGTTGCCCAGGCTGGTCTCCAACTCCTGGGCTCCAGCAGTCCACCCACCTCAGCCTCCCAAAGTGCTGAGGTCACAGGCATGAGCCGCCACACCCGGCCTCATTTTGACTCCGAGACTGTAGGAGGCCAGAGCTCAGTCCAGCGCTGCTGCCAGCCAGGAGTCTTCTGTGAAATGTCCCGGCCTTACTGTCACCTCTCCGTAGACCCTCCTGCTCTCTGTATGCATGTGACACATGAGCAATACTTAGGCCCCGCATTTCCTTCACGACTTAAAGAGGGCCAGGCAGTGGTCAGATCAGCAAGAGACAGCCAGAGTCAGTGGAAGGAGGCCCAAAGCCCATGGCCTGTGTGCTGGGGGCTCGTACCTGGGAGGCAAGGGCTGTGGTAAAGGCAGGGCCTCTACCAGGCTTTGCAGATATTGAAAACAGCTCAGGAATTTACCTTCTTGGAAGTAATTTAAGATTTTCTTCCTCTCCTTTTGGAACCCTACAAGGTTCTGGAGACCCCAGCATGGGAACCAGTAGCCTGGATCCCAGGTTTTCCACCTGTTTGGGTGGCAGACACTGGGTTATGGTGGCTCTTCCCAGGCATCTATGTGACCAAGGCGTCATACAGCACCCTGGGGGCTGTGCCTGGTCAGTTAACCCAAAAGGCAAAGTGAGGGGTGGATGGCTCACAGCACCGGTCAACACTGGAGCTGAAAGGGTCTTCACTCACCAGCCGTTTTAGAGGGGGCCAGAGGGTGTGTGGCAGCTGGAGTCCCTTGTCATCTTTCTTGGCATAAACTATACCCACTATGCATTGTCTACAATTTTCTCTTTCTGCTCCTTTGAAGAGGAACGAAAACCTAGAGCCACTTCAAGAGAAGCTGGAGGGTACAGTTCTTCTGAATTTTTTTTACCTTTTATTCTCAACCACTTAACAATTTCTTAACTGAAACCCACACTCAGTGCGATCACAGCAATTGCTCCAGCCCTTCCAAAGCACGAAGCCAAAAGAAATGTTTTTAGTACTGAATTAATGTTGAATTGTGTTCCGTTGAATTAAATAACAAGTACCGGTACATCTGGTACATCTCAGCTGGAGGGACCAGGAGTGTGGAGCCGACAGCCCGGGCCCCGCCCCCGCTCACCCCACCCAAGGGCCACACCGGCCTGGGCCACAGCTGTGGGACTCTGGGGAATGGGGAGTGTGTTAATCCAGCCACAGTTAAGCAGAGGCCATGCAGAAAGTTTTTTCACAGCTAGATTTGCAATTTTGTGCAAAATCATTTTCCGTCTTAGCCTAGCTTCTAGTTTAGACAAACAGGAGCTGGTAGTAAAAGCTTAGATCAAGTTCACTAAAAAAAAAAAAAAAAAAAAAAAAAAAAACATTTCAGACAGTTCTGCCAGCTCAGTTCTTCCGTGCACAGAGGAAAGACTCCTCATTGCCTCTTCACAGGAGCCGAGAGCGTGAGAACCTGGAGGGCAGGGCCCGGAAGGCTCCGTCAGTGCCAGCCTGCCTCCACCTCTCCCGGCCTCGGTTTCTCCTTCTGGAGATCTGCAGGGCTAAGGCATGGTAGGAGGCGCATGGGCTTCTGCTCAGGAGCACACCAGTGCCCCTCTGAGCCCTCGCCCGTGAAGAGGCCACCGCAGCCCCCATCTTCCAGCTGCGCTGTCCAGCCTCAGCGACCCTGCAAGGCTGGGGGTAGAGTGGGGTCATGCCAGGTGCTGCGGGTCAGGCCACAGAGACTTGGCACCCTCCCCGCACCGCTCCCAAGGCACCACTCTGTGGTTCAGAAGAGTTCCCCCACCCCCACTCCTCAAATCCCGGCACCAGACTGGCATGGATTCAGAAGCTGCCATACACTTGCCAGGAGAGAGTGGGCCCCTGATATGGTCCTGGTCACAACCCTCATCCCCTGTGGCAGCTGCCAAGGCCGGAGTAAGTGTGGCGGTCAGGACAAATGTCTCCCTGCAGAGAAGCTAAAAGGGTGACTTCCTTTTCTAGTGATTTGGGAGCTTTCTCCACCACAACAGGCAGCAGCAGAAAGACGTCCTTAGGGTGCTGCTGCTCCCCGCAGGGCGGGTCAGAGGCGGGGCTCTGGCTGGGCTGGGCTGGTCCTCCTTCCCTGTGATAAAACGGAGGGCAGGTGAGCCTCACCCTCTCTTCCCTACCTGTGCATCAGCTGATTGGCAAACTGGCAGCTCATGAAGCCATGGGCACCTGGGGAACTCACGTCATAGGCGCTAAATGATGTCAAAAAAATGAAAGCAGCTTAACCCTGAGCTCCTTTGTCTCACGTAGTGTTGTGTTAAAATTCAACTTTCCCAAAACGCGTTACCCATCGTTGCCTCCCATTCACCTCCGTGACAGTCACGCACGTCGGGACTGGATCATGCTCAGGTACCTTGCTTTCAGTCTGATGGCACCTAAATGAAGTAATCCGGTGTAGTCAGTGTACTGTCCGATTACTAGACAGAATTACAGCCTGTGAGCTCGTTGTAATAACCTCCTAGGAGACCCAGCCTGAAATCTCTTTTTTTCCTCAAACTATTTTGAAATTGGCCCGTATCTGCCCGGCCGTCTCCTTGCTTTCCCTGGGAGGTGGTGTGGCCTAAAGGGTGTTGGGGTCGAAGCCCACGTCACTTCACCTCCCTGAAGTCTGTGACATGGGGACAGAGACCTGCCTTCCTTCCAGTTGCCGGTGGGGGAGGTGTCAATGAGATGGCTGATCAGTAAATGTTTTTAAACAGCCCTCACACGGACTCCTCGTGGTCAGAGGGCTGGTGCGCACCTTTGTCGTGAGTTCTGCCGGCAGGCTCCGTCCCAGATCCAGAGCCGGTGGCGCAGGTGGGGAGGTGAAGCTGAGCTGGGCCGGGCATGGCCGAGGCCAGGAGGAGCCCACCCCAACCCTCCCATTCAGAAGCTCCCTCCTCACCCCTTGTCTTGTGTTTAGAAAGAAGCTGGCGCCGAGACCTCTTCCTTCTACTCTGCTCTGCTGCGTATTCAGCCCAAAATTGTGCACTGCTGGAGGCCGATGCGGCGAACGTTCAAGAGCTATGATGAGGCTGGTACGGGGCTGCTCAGCGTGGCGGATTTCAGGACGGTGAGCCCGGCTCTGCACCCAGCACCTCTGCAGCGAGCAGCTGCCGGATGCCAGTGGCCAGAAACTTCCAATGGGGTGGGGGGGGGGGCCTCCACCCCCTGCTCAAAGCCTACTGTGACCTGGCTGTCTCAGATCTCACTTCCTTGGGACCCCCGAGTGATCAAGGCCTGAGTCCACTTGCGTCTCCCCTGCAGACCTCAAGTTCTCCTTCCCAAAAGTTTCTGGAGCCCCGCATGGATGCTCCGTGCCTCCATGGCGTGAGCGCAGGTCCCTTAAGGCACCGCCACCGCTGCTCCAAGCCTTTGCCCCGTATCTGGGCTCCCCTGCAGGCTCTGAAGAGCGTCTCTGACCTATGTTGGGCCTGCACAGTGAGCCCTGCCCCTGCAGTGCATAGTGGGGCACCACCATTGGGCATCTGTCCCAACGTCCCTCGGTGCCCCCCTACTGTGTCCAACCCCCATAGCCTCACCAACACCCTGCAGTGGTTTTCCAATCCACACACACATTCCTCTTTCCTTCCGGGTCAAGTATGACTCACAGGGATTCTCCCTTACCCTCCATGCAAAGACAGGCAGGAAATAGGGCAGGCTGTCATTCCCTTCCCGCAGCTTTCCGGGAACTCGGGCATGGTTGCAGGTCGGATGGTGTAACTGTGGGGCCGTCTCGGACACCAGGCTCAGCTTCCTTTGCTTCCTTTTCTACCTTCATCCCGTTGGACCTGGTGGCCAGCCCGACCTCTGGGCCGTCCAGCCTGGCTTTCCAGTCTCCTCCTGCAAACAAATGATAACTCAGGGGTGGACAGGAAATGGACGACCTTACTTATTTATTGCGAGGCTCTGTCAGGATTTGTTTCAGCATCATATAGCAGGAGAAGAGAATAACTGCCGCTTAAACAAGGTGAAAGTTTACTTCGCTCCCACAGAAAGGAAGTCCAGGGGTAGGGAGTGCAGAGCTGGTGTGGTGGCTGGACAGTCATCGGGGACCACACTTTTGCTCTGCTGTCCCCAACTGCTGGCTTTCTTCCTCAAGCCAACCTCATGGTCCAAGGTGGCTGCTGGCGCTCCTGCATTATAGCCACACTCCAGGCAGCAGGTGGAAAAAGAGGAGAGAGAAAAAGGGCATGTCCCTCTCCTTTAAAGAAGGCTTCCCAGATGTTCTGCATAACGGCTGTACTTAGATTCTCTGGCCAGAACTTAACTAGCTGCAGGAGACGCTGAGACATATTCCTGGTTAGCAGGACACTCAGGAGCCCGGGAAAAAGTCAGGCTCTGTAACTGAAGAGGAAGGGCGGTCAGTAGTGGCTTTACCACCAGCAGGCTGTGTCCAGGCTCATCACAGCAATCCTCTGCACTCGGGTGCACCCACTGGCCCCGCCCTCCTCCCTCCTCTGCCCGGGTGCACCCACTGGCCCCGCCCTCCTCTGCCCGGGTGCACCCACTGGCCCCACCCTACATTTTGGCCACATGGCCAGGTCTCCCCACGCGTCCCCACCTCTCTGACCGTCAGCCTCGCCTAAACGTGCTGAGCAGCCTTCAGCCCCTCGGGCGTACAGAGGCTTGTCTTGGCCCTGGGTTATGGAGGCAGGCTGCCAGGAAGGGAGCTGGGGGGTGCGCCCACCTGGTCCCCAACCCTGCTTCTGAAGTCACCCCCCCATCTGTGCCTGCTCTCTCCTTCTGTGCCCTCTCAACCTCTGCCCAAACAGGAAGCAGCCTCCAAGGGCAGCCCCACGCCTCCTCCCGTTTCACACCCAGGTGCACCTGGAGGGCCAAGACAAGCCTCAGAGGCCCCTTTCCTCTGCCTCCCAGGTCCTGAGACAGTTCGGCATCAACCTCTCGGAAGAGGAGTTCTTCCATATTCTGGAGTATTACGACAAGACGCTGTCTTCAAAAATCTCCTACAATGACTTCCTGCGGGCGTTCCTGCAGTAGACACAGCTGCCGTGCGCCCAGCGGGACCACAGCCACGGGGCCTGTTTCAAGACAAATAAAAATCCTATAATTTGGAGGTTTCGTGAATTTTCAAAAATACAAAACCCAAGCCCAGCCCGCCTCTCTCTGGGTGGGGGGAGGTGGGGCTGCCCCAGGCTCAGGCGTGGAAGGCTTGGTTTCCAGGTGCCAGGTGCCACCACTGTGTCTCGGGCACCCTCACTCATTAGTCTGAACAAATAAAATAGTCTTTGCAAGAATGATCCTTGAGACCTCAAAAGAATTGCTAATGCTAACATTTTTTAGACGGAGTTTGGCTCTTCTGCCCAGGCTAAAGTGAAGTGGCATAATCTCGGCTCACCGCAGCCTCCACCCCTTGGGTTCTAGTGATTCTCCTGCCTCAGCCTCCTGAGTAGCTGGGATTACAAGTGCCCACCACCACGCCTAATTTTGGTATTTTTGGTAGAGATAGGATTTCCCCATGTTGGCTGGGCTGGTCTCAAACTCCTGACCTCATGTGATCCGCCCGCCTCAGCCTCTCAAAATGCTGAGATTACAGGCATGAGCCACTGTGCCTGGCCAATGCTAACAAACATTCTTAAAAGCCGGGAATTTCTGGAGGTTTTATTCATGACCCCTCCGCAGGGTACCCAGGGCAGTTAGAGCCTTGCACCCCATTTTTCAAGGGCTGCTGCCTCCTTTGACCCCCAGCATCCTGGGTCCTGGGTCAAGGGATCTCCGAGACTCCTGTTACAGTCAGGGTGTCCATGTCTCTTCTCCTGGGGACTCAGGCACTGACTACCCCATCCCCGTCCTGCTCAGGGACGCCGGCCAGCCTGACTCCATGAAGAACAACTCACACCTGAGTGAGACCCATGGGGCTTTGGGCCTCCACCTTCCTGAGGACAAGCCTCGTGGCCACTGACTGTGACCCCGACCTGGGACAGTTCTGACAGGGCCCTTTCTTGGAACTGACATGTATGAAGGGAAGTTTGAAAACTGTCAAACTTGTGAGCGACAGCCCAGGCCAGCGCAGAGGGCCTGAAGACGGTCGGGCAGGCTACCCTGCAAGCAGCAGCAGGACTCACTTGTCCCCATGCCCACATCCCTGCCTCCATGCCCTGGCTCCTGCTGGCTCCTCCTCCTGGGACTCCTGTTCTCATCTGCACAGCCCCCACACTCTTCCTCTGAGACCCAGCTCCAATCCTCCTGCAACCCCTGGCAGAGGTTGAGCTCCCCATTTGATGCCCTCACCACTTGGCAGAGAGAGCCCCTCCCTTCAGCACAGGACAGCTGAGCCTAGAGTCCACCCACAGGGTGAGAACTCTGACCTCCACCCCCCAGGCTGACACACAGCAGGCGCTCTAACGCTGGGGCGGGGCACGGCCTGTGGGTCCCTTTCCCAGAAGGAAAACTGACCAGGCTCTGCAGGGAGTGTGGGCAAGTCGGGGAGCAGTGCTGGTGCTGGGGCTTCTCTGTGGATGGACCCTGTGTGTGCTGGACTCCTCATAGCACTGGGAGGTGGCCGTGGGGTCAGATCCGTTTTCTCTTGGCTGCATCTCCCAGCTCCTGGCAAAACAAGTTCTGGACCTTTCCATGCATTTCCCACCTGCACTGCCGGCAGCACACTCTGACATAACCGTTTTAAAATGCAGTCTCACCCATAAAAACAGGTGACACTGAACTTTCAGTGAGCTCTGGTGAGAAGGCTTGGCATTGCCAGCTGTTACCCCAGAAATGGAAAGTGTGTCCCCCAAACTTGCAAAGTCACCTATTAACATCCCCACCGTGGTGGAGGACGGGGTACTGAGTGGTGAGGGGCAGATGGATGCCTGGTCCATGTGCCCCGCCTCAGCACTGGAGGCCCCACCTGCATGCCCAGATCGCATCCTGTGTGCCGGACTTCAGCTTCCCCACACTGGCTCGTACGTATCTTTGCACTTGGCATCAGCTGTTTCTTCCGCCTACTCCTCAGGAAATGCTGAATATTCCTTCAAAATTCTCCAAGCCACCTCTTCCACGAAGCCGTCCTGACTTCCTGAGGCTGAGTCAGTACAGTTAGTCTGGGGCTGTTCAGCAGCCCTGTGGGTTCGTCATTTTTAAGGGTTGAAGGAGGAGGAGGACAAAGAGGAAGAAAGAATCGCCGGGCGCGGTGGCTCAAGCCTGTCATCCCAGCACTTTGGGAGGCCGAGGCGGGCGGATCACGAGGTCGAGAGATCGAGACCATCCTGGTCAACATAGTGAAACCCCGTCTCTACTAAAAATACAAAAAATTAGCTGGGCATGGTGGCGCGTGCCTGTAATCCCAGCTACTCAGGAGGCTGAGGCAGGAGAATTGCCTGAGCCCAGGAGGCGGAGGTTGCGGTGAGCCGAGATCGCACCATTGCACTCCAGCCTGGGTAACAAGAGCGAAACTCCGTCTCAAAAAAAAAGGAAAGAAGAGAAGGAGGAAAGAACAGGAAGTGCAACTGACTGCAGGTGTGTGGACCTTAAAGCCTGAAATATTTACTATCTGATCCTCTACAGAGAAAGTTTGCTGGGCCCCACTATACAAATGTCTGGCTTTCAACAAAAAAAACGTTGAGGCATACCAAGGGCAATTATAAAAGCATAGTTTGAGAAGCCAAAACAATCCTAAGAATCAGACTCGGGCATGACACAGATTTTGGAACTATCAGAAAAATGTTTAAATAACCAGTTGATGTGTTTGCGCTCCAATGGAAAAGAAAGACAACTCACGACCAGACAATTTCAGCAGAAAGATGAAAACTGTAACAATCGGAAAGGCTAGAAATAAAAAAACACAGTCACAAAGATGGAGATTGCCTTTGACAGGTTCATCAGTAGATTCAACGTAAACAAGGAAAGAACGAGTGTTTGAAGACAGGTCAATAGCATGTTTCTAGACATAAATGCAGAGAAAAAGAGGAGTGGGGGAAAATGGCAGAACATATAAGAGCTGTGGGACAGGATTAAATGTTCTAACACGCATGTAATTCAGGAGGAAAGAACATGGGGCAGAAGGAATAGTTGAATAAATAATGGGCTGAGGATTTTCTAAAATGAGTTACAGACATTACACTAAAGAGAACCTGGCAGGACACACACACACACACACACACACACACACGCACATGCACCCCTAGGAATGTCACACTCAAATTGCTGCAAAAAAAAAAAAAAAAAAAAAAAAAAAGCACAGAGAGGAAATTTTGAAGGCAGCTAGAGAAAAAAGATAACTGACCTACAGAGGAACAAGGATGAGAATGACAGCACATTCTCCTCAGAAACTGTGCTAGCCAGCAGACAATGGAACAGCAATTTCAGAGGGCTGAAAGAAAACCATCAAGCTCAAATTTTGTCAACAGCAAAATACTTTTCAAAAAGAAGAAACATTGGATTTTCTAGGCACACAAAAACTGGGGGAACTCACGGACAGCATCCTTAGTATAAAAGAAACTTCAGGCTGGGCGCGGTGGCTCACACCTGTAATACCAGCACTTTGGGAGGCTGAGGTGGGAAGATCACTTGAGGTCAGGAGTTCGAGACCAGCCTCGACAACATGGTGAAATCCTGTCTCTACCAAAAATACAAAAATTAGCCAGGCATGGTGGTGAGCAGTAATTCCAGCTACCTGGCAGGCTGAGGCAGAAGAATTGCTTGAACCCAGGAGGTGAAGGTTGTAGTGAGCCCAGATCGCACCACTGCACCCCAACCTGGGTGACAGAGCATGACTGTCTCAAAAAAAAAAAAGAGTTTAAAAGAAGTTCTACAGGCAAAAGAAATATGATTAAGTCAGAAATTTGGATATATCAAAGAAATGAGTATCGCAAATGAGATAATTGAAGGTAAAATAAAATATTTTTATAACTGAAATTTTAAAAGTTAGCCATCAAAAGCAAAATCTGCCACAGCATATTACGTGTTTACACCAGACTTAAAAGTACAGCAAGAATCAGGAAGGACGGGGAGAAGGAATTCAGAGTGTACTGTCAAAAGGTTCTCATGCTGCCTGTGAAGCAATATGATATAATTGAAGACAGATTGTTTTATAATGTATTTATAAACCACAGAGCAACTACTAAAAATACACTTTTAAAAATAGACTTGCAAAAGGTAAACTTAACAAGTGAACAGAAGAGAGAAAAGGAAATCATGAAGGTCACATCAGGAAAAACGGCAGAGGATCTCCAAAAGTTCTTCCCGCCAAAACAGCAAGAAAACTCCCGATATGAGTCAGAATCAACTTTTCTGAGAACTCTAGAAATTACCCAAAGGCTTGCAGGAACCAAAGGGGC